CAAGGATCTTGTTTGGAAAAATAAAGGTATTGTTCCATACTATATTGTCGCTGAAGTCTTCTGAAGTTGCTGTGTATCAGACTTGCCCTGCTTTCAGTGCGCGCTCGAATCCCGTCAAGCGTTTCTGCAGTTGCCCAGAAGCTGGGTATAGTGCTTCTTCCAGATTACTCCATCTGTCAGAGATCTATGAATCTTGCAATTGTACAGTCAGGAATATCAGAGCAATGTGGCAATCTTTTGCAAAAACTCAAAAGGGATTTCAGTAATCTGAGCTGTGTGTTAGTGGGCCTGTAATTATACAGAACTACTTGAGCTCACATGGAAAATCAATATGTCATTTCTTTGAATATCTGCAGTAGTACACATATCAAAAAGTCTATACTTATCTTAAAAACGTGTTGATATACCATTTAGTGCCTTGTTATTCGGCCGTATTGGAGACGTGATGGGAGCAATTCAGGACTAATGCAATCAAGTATGTCTTGCAGCAACTATGCCAACATAAAGAGCCAGGACTATGATCGATTTCGATTTTCCACAAAGTGTGCGCGATCGAAAACTTCCATTGGCCATGGACACCCAAACTGGCTGTGCTTGACGTTGTTTCGATATAAAGGGATGGAACTCGGAGAAAGGAATCTCAAGGACCTGCAGCAGACGTATCTATCAAGCAGATAGCCTGCTCGACGTTTGTGTAGCGGCGTGCAATGGACGGATGTAGTAGGAATGCATCATGTGGCTCCCGCTTGTACATACGTATTGCGTAAAATGTAAGTGATGCAACGAATTGTTTTCAATCACGCACATAAGCGTCATTGACTTTTTTGGGGGTGCAAAGCATGATTATCGTCAAAAAGGTAAAGCCCAAACGAGTCGAGCGATTGCGTTCTTCGATTTCCTCGTAAAATCACAAAAGTAGCAATGAGACGGGTAGTCGTTCTTGCTCAGAGACAATATTACCCTCCTAAAACCCCAAGACGACAACGTCTGGAGCTTTTTGAGGAGTCGTGGTCCTTCCTGATATACACCGATGGAAGGAGCCATATCGAGGTTCATTGTCACGCTCTTGTCTTGCGTCCCCATGTTGCTCTTCTCATGTAATGTCCGAAAATATATGCTATGAGCCGCACGAGCGCCAACCGGTGTTTCCTTTGAGCTGTCGCTATCACAGCATGCAACAACACGAATTCTAAGAATGTTGTCTTGTCTCGTCCAAACTGGCCGCTTATTGTCGGGCAATGGCGAGCTTCTGACGAGATATAGCAACACTCGGGTTCTCTGGCCCCAGCACTCTTTGCCTGATACGCAGAGCGCGCTCGAAACGTGGCAGCGCCTTCGCAAACTCGCCCCTGTTCGGCAGCAGGCCCGCCTTGTTGGTCAGCGACGTCACCAGGTCCGGGTGATCCGGGCCTCAGCGCCTTCTCCATGTGGAGGGCGCGCACGTACAGCGACATCGCCTTTGCAGACTCACCCTGGTTTTCTAGCAACCCCGACATGCTGTTCAGCGATGATGCCACACGCGGGTGCTCCGGCCCTAGCGCCCCCTCCCTGACGCGCAGGGCGCGCTCAAAAAGCGGCAGCGGCTTCGCGTACTCGCCCTGCTTCTCCAGCAGGCCCGCAGTGTGCTTCAGCGTGGTCACCAAATCCGGGTGCTCCGCCCCCTGCCCCGATGCGCAGGGCGCGATCGTACAGCTGCAGCACATTTGCGCACTGGCCTGGCTGGCCGGCAGGATCGCCATGTTGTTGAGCGACGCCGCTACGTCCGGGTCCTCCGGGCCCAGCGGCTTTTTGATGTCGGTACCACATGCGAGGCTCATTGGAGCCCACGCCGCGTACCCTTGTCGCCCTGCTCGGCGGCCTTCTAGTACAGCTCGACCGCCTTCGCCTCGTCCTTCTCCACGCCCGTGCCGTTCTCTTAGCACACGCCTAGATTGCACAGCCCCGCCGCGAGGCCCTGCTCGGCGGCCTTGGCGTACAGCTCGGCGGCGCGCGCCTCGTCCTTCTCCACGCCCGTGCCGTGCTCGTAGCAC